AAATAAGAAATCCTAGTCATTGGCCAGCAGAATTGTAACTAATATTAATATCTGTGTGTCATTTGGGGGCCCTAACATGGCGGCAGAACACAGGCGGCTGGCAGAAAGTGTTATCGTTACAAATGGTACCCACGTGGTTTTACGAATTTCCATATAAAAACTTCAAAAAATTAAAAAGGGATTTTAGAAGCAAAAGAATAGAGACAGCATGACGTCTTTGTAGCAGAATTTTCTTGGGTGGTCTCTTTTGCTAGAGACAAGCAGAGACTCGAGCTGGACCCTTAAGGGAGGTTCCCTGTCTCAGCATAAAAAAAAAAAAAACCCACAGGGCTCTTTTAAGAACCCCTGCTAACAATTGATTGGTGTGTATAAGCAGCTGGCAGTGTCAATGACCACATCTCCAAGTCAGCAGCATGCTACTTGATGGCAGGATAGACCAATTCAGTGAGCACAGCTCTCAGTGCTGGTGGTAAACATACCCCCACCATCTTGGAAAGACAGCAGCTTAAACAGCCATGGCTTTAGTTTTAGCAATGTTGTTTAGGAGATAAAAGGCTTTTGGCCAGAAAAAGATAGAGATATACAGTAAAGACAGATTCGGAGGGGAAAAGTACAGCCTCTAAAGGTTTATAATCTTTAAAGGTTTAAAAATATATGTAGGCTTGTGAGAGAAAAGAAACAGGATAAAGTAATTGAAATAAAAAAGAGTATACAGGCAGTGGTGGCACATGCCTTTAATCCCAGCACTCCAGAAGTAGAGGCAGGCAGATTCCACAGAGAAACCATGTCTCAGGAAAAAAGAAAGAAAAGGAAGTAAAAGAAATAGAATAGCCAAGCAGTGGTGGCGCATGCCTTTAATCCCAGCATTCAGGAGGCAGAGGCAGGTGGATATCTGTGAGTTCAAGACCAGCCTGGTCTACAAGAGCTAGTTCCAGGACAGCTTCCAAAGAAACAGAGAAACCCTGTCTCGAAAAACAAACAAACAAACAAGTAATAGAATAATAAAAAGCCAGGTAAAGATGGAAAATACTCAGAAAGTCTAGATACTACATAATATAGAGTTGTATTTAAATTGTTTGATTTCTGAAGAAAGAACTAAAGCTGCTAAAATACATTTGATCATAAGTGCTGCTAAATTAATCCAACTTATATATTTTAAAAATGTTTTGACTTATAAATTTAAATATAAGGGGAGGTTACTTGGGAAAAGTATTTTTGCTTATATTTCCACGGAAAATGTAAAGCTATGGATTCCTTCCAGACTAATAATGGTTTGATGAAGCAACACCCCCTGAAACAGTGTTCCAGGTGATCCAACATCTAAAACAGCTAAGATGATACAGCCTTACTGACATCAAAAACCAGGTCCTGGCTAGGTTTCTGTGTTTTATAATGATCCCCATGGTATGGACTTCACCCCCAACCAGAAGGAAGCAGTTTAAAATGAATGGTGCCCAAATTCCCATATACTGTTTATAAGTGTTTGTTTTCATTTAAATGGGGTTGGTTAAATGGTTAATGATCACAACCAACAACTTTTTATAGGTAAAAGAGAATTTATGGAATATAAATAATACTTATATTGGAATGGATTTTCATTTATTGATACAAATTTAAGGTCAATTTTGTAATATGTATATGCCTCCTCTTGTTTAGGTATTGTGATTATACTGATCTTTTAAAATGTAATGCATAATTAAATACAGATTATATAGTCACCTATAATAGTCAGAACTTATAATTAGGTTAGTTAGGTTTTCTAGATATACAGAGATATATTTGAGATGGATAGATATTCTTCAAGCCTTTCAAAGACCTACAGAATATATGGCATTTAAATGGTTTAGGGTTTTTCATGACAGTGAGACACAACTGCTCTTGGAACACCAATTATGTCAGAAAGGAGGATGGGCATTGAAGAAACTCAATATGGAGTTTGCCTTCAACATAGCAAGATTATCCATTTGGGCAAGAAACTACTTTTGCCTGGACTGTTTGTTAAACTGCATATGCAGGACCCAAAGGAAAGTGACTGCTGAACTTGCAAAACAAGACAGTCCTGAAGGGTTCCTGCTTCATGGAGAAGTCTGCCAGTCACATTGTGGCCTATAGGCTGAGGATGGATGCCCTAACATTACAGAAGAACTTTGGGTGACTGTCCAGGCAGTGAGTTGTCTCTGTTGGTTCTAGAGTTTATACATTATCCTTCTGTGGTCTTTGATGTAGTTGAAGACAGATAGTGATGGTTACAGTTTTCTTTAGTTATTATAAAAGGTAAGTTACATGTAAGACCTTAGACTCACAAAGATAGATATATGATAGCATATTTTCTTTAATTCTTGCTAAATGTTAATGTTAAATATTGTAACTATAGTTCTTACTTGATAACTGCTTTGTTATATATTTTTGCTATGTTTAGGTTAAAACCCTTCTTTTTATTTAGACAGAAATGGAGGAGATGATGGGGGAGGTCCTTCTTTGTATATGTTTGTCTTATTGGTTGATGGGAGGCAAGTTAGGTGGGACTAGGAGAGAAGGAGGGTTCTGGGAAATGTAGTAAAGAGGAAAGTTGCCATGTACTCCTGGAGAAGAGATGATGTATGACTCTGGCATCCTCGGTAAGATAAGTCTTTATAAAATATATAGATTAATAGTTAAGGTTGGTACTTAAGACAGTGCTAGCAAATAAGAAATCCTTGGCATTGAAAATAATATTAATCTCTGTGTGTCATTTGGGGGCCCTAACATGGCAGCAGAACTCAGGAGGCTGGTGGAAAGAGTTATCATTACAAACCTAAATATGCGTCTTAGAAAATACAGCACTGTGAGAAGTCATTAGGCAATGAGGGGTGTCCTCAGAGGGAATTGCGTGATCCTTAGATTTTAAATGTCCAAAACAGTGATTTAAATACTTTTCATAAAATAAAATACATTGCCTCTGGTATTTTATTGTAGTACCGAGAAACTGTCTAGAACACAGGGTTGCATTGACATTTTTCTTGCCTCAAACTGCTTTTCTATGAAGTCTGGCTGTTGTGCTGAGAACACTAGGGAGCACATTCTGGGTACTGGGAGCAGAGGTGAATGTCAGTCATGATCAAAAGCACTGTAGGTGTTGGCAGTTCATGTTTAGCATCAAAGCTGGTAACACATTTGTTTAGGAGCATGCATTTGCTTTTCCTTTTTATCTCCAATGTAACATCTTAGGTTGATGGCTTCCCCTTTCAGAGTACTATGATTGTCACTATACTAAGTCAATGGCATAAACACATATTCTAACTTAATTTAGCTTAACAGGAAATTTTACTTACCAATACAAATTACCAGCATTATTATTTATCAACACTAAAGTAATATCTATAAATAAATTACACCATCCAATATTGTATCCTACAAAACACTCTCTCACACACACAGGCATGCATGCACATGCACAAATGCATGTACACCTACTCACCGAAATTACAGTATTCAGAATAATGATGTAAGCAGTTTTTCAGGTCTATTGCCTGGAGAGATAATAATAACTGCTAAAACTATTTTGAAAAGAGCTCTTTGAAGTGTCTGAAAATTGTTATAATGGTCATACAGAAAACATAGTGACATTTAACCAAAGTCATCTACAAATCTAGGCTTTGTGACACTTGGACCAGACAAGTCCAATCCTCTCTCCTGGTCCAGCTCAGTGTGGTGGTTGCCTTGTTGTCTATCAATGTGGCCAAGGAGAGAGAGATATCTTATTCAAAACTCCTGGTCAAATGCTATAGTACCTTTCAGGCAGTGGTGAGATATAGACATTCCTAACTAGCCTAGTGTCCTGTTGCAGAGGCTAATTTCCAAATGTGTGGCTAAGTCAGTTAATTCCCCTTTTCTACAAAGCCAATGCATAGAGTGGAGGCCGTGCCCATCTAAGGAGTATAGAGCCTTGGTTTTCCTTCCTCCATTTTGTATACATGGAATAGGATCTATGAAGGAAACAGTCACAAAGAGAAGCTACTTCTGACATTACCAACCTCCTGTCTACAAAGTACCACACATGGAAGCAAGAGAATACTATTTTATGTTCAGCTCTACATTTCCCAACAGTACAAGTAGGAAATGAAAAAATAGGTCTGAAACTCTTTTTAGTAGAACAAGCTTTTTTGAAACACGTTGAAACCTTGAGTATACTGGAGATTTTTGTTGGTACAAAAATAAAATGGAAGTACTCCAAGAGCATAGGATAAACTATAGCTCAAGTATTTAACCAGAAAAAAAAATCATGCAAGGAACAGTTGAGAGATTGTTTCCAAGATAAGAACTAATGTTGAAGGTCAGCTTCAAATACTGTCTTTGCCTAGGTTTTCAGCAGTCGTGGACTTAACTGTATAAGGTTATGAAGTAAATTTTGCCCTACAGTGTTGTAAAAAACAAACAAAAACAAAGAAACAATCATCCAGTAACTAGGTGAGTTATGCTGTGTGAAGTAATAATAAAAGAAGATGGTTTAACGTGGAAAGGAAAGAGAATTGAAGAGAACCCCATTAACACCACTATCCTGATAGGATAATTGTGTATTATTTCAAGGCTGTGAGCTCTGAAGAGTGAACACAGAGGCTTGTCATCTGGAAAACAGAGTTCAACAATATAGTTCCTCTAAATTGCTAGAAAAAATGAGCAGGTGAAAACAGAAAGCTCAGGAGTTGATACATTGTCTACAATGTCCAGTTTCATCTATGAGATGAGACACAGCAAGTTTCTATGGGACTTGGATGGCCCAAGGGTTGAGATACATAAACAAACAGGACAGTGTGGTTCAAATTTAATTTTTTAAAATATCAAACAACAAAAACTGTCTCTAATGGTTCAAAGGCTCTCTGTGTGTTGGTGGGGAATGTACTTCTATGTATGTTCTTCTTATTGGTTGTTGAATAAAGTACTGTTTGGCCAATGAGGCAGCAAGCTAGAAGGGAGTAGGAGTCAAAGAGGATTCTGGGAAATGTAGTAAAGAAGTGATGATCCAGGCAGGAAATGACCTAGCATGGAGACTCATGCATAAACAAGGGAAGAAGGAAGTGTGGTCTTTCTTCCTCCAGCAGCACCATGTGATCCACCAGCAAATGAGGATGCCTATGGAAGGCATCGATAAGGTAAGTCTTATATATGAAATATATAGATTTATGATAATTAAGACTGAGCTAAGAGATGAGAGTCCTAGTCATTGTCCAAGCAGCATTTGTACCTAATATAAGTCTCTGTGCATTAATTAGGGCCCTACCTCAGCGGGCAGAAATCAGGTAGCTGGCAGAAACCGCCCACGAGATGGTAGGGCTTGAGCAACTTTTGGCGGAAAGATTTGTCATAAAAGAATGGTGTCAGTGAGCGGGATGATCCTATGCCCCAAGGTTCCCAGAGGAAGAGTGAAACCTGTTACCACAGCCTGCCCTGTCGGGCCACTGAGAGGCAATGGAGCAGCTTCCATATGCTCTCGCAGACCCTGAGCTCTAGGGGTTTGAACTCAGCACTCCTGAGATGATAAAGACAGATCCAGATAAAGAAAAACCTCTAAAGGTTTACACTGCATTTAAAAATATATGTAGGCTTGTAAGAGAAAAAGTAACAGGAGGAAATAGAATAGCTGGTTGTGGTGGCACACACCTTTAATCCCAGCACTCTAAAAGCAGAGGCAGGCAGATTTCCACAGAGAAACCCTGTCTCAGGAAAAAAGAAACAAAAGGAAGTAAAAATAGAATAATAGAAAAGCCACCTTAAGATGAAAAATACACGGAGAGTCTGGATACTATATGCTATATTGTTGTCTTTAAATTGTTTGATTGCCGAGGAAAGACTAACTGCTGCTAAAACACATTTGATTATAAATGCTACTAAATTAAGCCAACATATACATTTTAAAAATGCTTTGACTTCAAATTTTAAGTCTAAGGACAGGCTACTTGGGAAAAATGTTTTTGCTTGTGTTTCCACAGAAAATGAAAAGCTGTGGATGCCTTCCAGACTAATATGGTTTGATTAAGCAAGACCCTCTGAAGCAGTGACCCAACTGATGCTACATCCAAAACAGCTGAGATGATACAGCCTTACAGACTACAAAAACAAGGACTTGGTCAGATTTCTGTGTTTTATCATGATCTTCATGTTATCGACATCACCTCCAATCATTTGAAATGAATGATGCCCAAGTTCCCAAATATTGTTTATAAATGTTTGTTTTCATTTAAATGGGGTTGGTTATAAATGATAATGAGCATAGTTAATCTCTTTTTAAAAGAAAAAAAGGGAAATAAGTTATAGGAATGAATACTTGCATTGATATGGATTTTGATTTATTGATACAACTTTAAGGTCAATTTTGTGATATGTATTTCTCTTCTTTTTTAGGTATTGTGTTTATATAGATCTTTTAAAATGATATACACAATTAAAATTAAATACAGGTAATATAGTTACCTATAACAGTCAGAACTTATAATTAGGTTAGGTTTTCTAGATATACAGAGATGTATTTGAGATGTATAGGTATTCTTCAAATCTTTCAAAGACTGACAGAATATATGACATTTTAATTGTTTAGGTTTTTCTTGGCAGTGAGACACAACTGCTCTTGGCACACCAATTATGTCAGAAAGGAGGATGGGCATCAAAGAAACTTGTTTTGGTGTTTGCTTTCAACATGGCAAGATTATCCATTTGGGCAGGAAACTGCTCTTGCCTGGACTGTTTTTTGCTGTATAAACTGGACATGCAGGACCCACAAGAAAGTGACTGCTGAACTTGCAAAACAAGACAGTACTAAAGGGTTCCTGTTAAAATGGAGAAGTGTGCCAGACACACTATGGCCTATGGGATGAAGATGGATGCCCCAACATTACAGAGGAACTTTGGGTGACTGTCAAGGTAGCCAAATGTCTCTGTCAATTCTAGAGTTTATATATTATCATTCTGTGGTTTTTGATAAAGTTGAAGACAGTTATGGTTATAGTTTTCTTCAGTTATTATAAAAGATAAGTTATCCTTATTATTTGGACATAAAAGAAGAGATGATGGGGGGATGTACTTCTATGTATGTTCATCTTATTGATTGTTGAATAAAGTACTGTTTGGCCAATGAGGCAGCAAGGGAGTAGGAGTCAAAGAGGATTCTGGGAAATGTAGTAAAGAAGTGATGATCCAGGCAGGAAATGACATAGCAGGGAGAATCATACATAAACAAGGGAAGAAGGAAGTGGCCTCTCTCTTCTACCAGTGGCATCATGTGATCTACCGGCAAGTGAGGACACCAATGGAATGTGTCCAATAACATAAGTCTTATATATAAAATATATAAGTTTATGATAATTAAGACTGAGCTAACAGATTAGAATCCTAGTCATTGGCCAAGCAGCATTTTTACCTAATATAAGTCTCTGTGCATTAATTGGGGCCTTAACTCTGTGGGCAGAACTCAGGCAGCTGGCAGAAACCACCCACGTGGCAGTAGGGCTCGGGCAGCTTTTGGCGGAAAGATTTGTCATAACATTGTGTGTGTGTGTGTGTGTGTGTGTGTGTGTGTGTGTGTGTGCATGTGTGTGTATTCAAAGTGCAAAAGTATATGAAGCTTTAAGAAGAAAAGGCAAACATGGTGACAATGCAAAATCAAACACACAGTATAAATATAAAGTAACATAAATAATTTTTAAGAACCAAATAAATTCCAGAAGTGATAGTGTGAAAACTGAAATGAAATATTTACTAGAGTACCAATCTAATAATTGAACTGACAACAAAATCATCAGAAAAGTTGAATATAAATATATAACACACAATACAAGACTAGAGAGGAAAAATGAATGAACAAAAATTAACATGGCATCAAATAAGTGAATAATGCCAGCAAATATATTAAGATCTTAACAATGAGATTAGCAGAAGAATACAATAGAAAAAGGTAGAAAAACATATTGTAAAAATAACGGCTAAAATCATCTAACATGTGACAAGCAACATGAAACCTAAAAAGTTTAAAAACAATTTCCAGATAGATTAAGTATAACAAAATCAGTATCCAAATACACAACAGTGAATATACTCTAATCAGAAACATGGAGGCCAGAAGGCATTAATGGTGTATTTGAAACAAATAAATGAAAACAAAGAGAGTAAAGGAAAAGGGGAGGGAGGGATAAAATGAACTGCCAACCAATATCCATAAAAAGAATCAATCAAAAACAAAATCAAAATGAACATTGCCCAGATAAACAAAATTTGGAAGAATGCATTATTGCTAACATTTTCATTTACAATAATCACTGAAGAAAAATTTTCAGACTAAAAGCTAATCCTTTCATTAAGGATCAACTTCAGAAAGTAGTTTGAACCTACATACATGGGGAAAAAAAAGAAACAAACAACAAAAACAAGCAAGTAAATGCCAGAGCCCAAGCAAAGTTAATTATGTAATTATAAAGGACAATAAAGATACAGTTTTCTTCTGCATTTATTTCCAATGGGTAACTATAAATATCTCTATTAAATGGGAATTAAAATCTCAAAGAAAATCTGATTCTTCACATTAAGACACTGATAAGACAACAAAAAAGAAAAACCTTAACATGGTGAATAAAATCATGTAATATAATGTAAGTTACATGAAATGAAGAAAAACAAAAATAGTTTTAATAGAAAAAGTTAAAAAAATACACAAAATTTAAATAGGCTGATGAAGAAAAGCAAAAAGGAAGATTCTAGTTAATAAAATGTTTTTAAAGAACTACGTGAAAGTACTGTCAGCAACCTATATAACCAAGTTGAAATAGACACATTCTTAATCACAAACTACAACAGCTGACTAAAATGAGAGAAACTCTAAGAATAAGCCTAGTTGTCCTACTCCAAGGTCCTCTAGAAAAGTCAGGAGTGTGGCTTGAGAAACAGTAGCTCAATTTACTCATTTTGATACCATTCTTGAGTTGATCCAATAAGCAATAATCAAATAATATCTGCCATATCAATAGGAAAACAGGGAATGACAATCTACCTTAGTTTCTTTACTGTGATGAAAGACCCTGATGAATGTTACTTATCTTTTAAAAAGAGTTTATTCTGTCTCATAGTTCCAGTTTATAGTCCGTCATTGTGGAGAAGTCAATAGAGCAGGACTTTGAATCATCTAATTATATCCACATTCATGACCATAGGAAAAAAATAAATGAATGCATGCTTGCATTCAATTCACTTTCTATACTTTTGCTTTTTATTTCATTTTTAATTGCATATGTGTGTGTATGTGTGTATCTGTGTGTGGCTATGTGCACATGAATTCAGGAAACCATAGAGGCCATAAGAGGCCTTCAGATCCCCTGAAGCTGGAGTTATAGATGCTTGCAAGTTGGTGTGGGTGCTGGAAACCAAATTTAGGTGCTCTGAAGAGCAATACACACTTTTAATCACTGAGCCATTTCTCCACTATTACACAGCTAAGGATCTCCTCCCTAGTGAATGAAGTCACCCACAGTGGGCATCTCTGCTTCCCTAACTCAATTAATTTAAATAAGATTATCACCTAAAGACATGCCCACAAACCTAAATTCTCATTTAATCTTGAAAATTCCTCACTCAGATTTATTTCTCATGTAATTCTAGAGTAGGCCAAGTTGACAAGTAAACTTAAGCATCATATCATTTAAATAATACCAAAACAGCAATGGACAAATTGTAATACTCACTCATAGTTTGGATAAAGATCCAAACTATGCTTGGGAGAAAACAGTCCCAAATGGCTATGAGCTAATGAAAAATCATAATTTACATTATGCGTGATGGTGAGGAGACACAATGCTATCACTCTACATTGAAAATTAAGACATCTGTCTTATGATTCATGTAAACCAACATAACATTTTTCTTTTAATGTAATATTTATTATAGTGCTCCTGCTCCCCCTAGACAATCCAGACTAATACTGACATCATCACAATTAAAAAGAACTTCAAAATATACCATCTGGGAAATCGCAAAAAAAAAACCACCACATAAGAGAAAATACTTTCTAATCATCCCTAATACGAGTCTAATAACAAGAATTAACAAGTCACTCCTACAATTCAGTATCACCAAGGTACCTATAACAAGAAGTAGAAAAATGTTCTAAAGAGATGTCTATAAGAATATACAAATATACAGCTAAGGGACATTTCCCATTTCCAAGAAACCCCTGAACTCCAAGTTACTACATGCTATTCTATCTCTTGCTCAAATGTGTCTGACTATTCTAGACATGTCCTATAAATAGAATTGTATGCTACATGGTCTTTTGTGACTGATTTCCTTTTCTGAACATGATATTTTCAAGGTTCAGCCATGATGTATTATATACCATTTTTATTTTCTTTTAGTTACTAAATATTATCTTGTGGGCTTCGAATCTGAAATAACCAACCCAGGTATTATGGTCACAATGCTTCATTCAGACACACACACACACACACACACACACACACACACACACACACACACACTGAATAGATGAACTATTGACTTCTTTTCCACATCAGCTGATGGTGCTGAGTTCCTTTTACTATATGACTCTCTGAGTGATGCTTCTGCATTCATTCTTGGTGAATTTTTTTTTAAATATATACTCTAGTTTTCTTTCTTTTTTTTTGGAGACAGGGTTTCTCTGTGTAGCTTTGGAGCCTATCCTGGCACTCACTCTGGAGACCAGGCTGGCCTTGAACTCACAGAGATCTGCCTGCCTCTGCCTCCCGAGTGCTGGGATTAAAGGCATGCGCCATCACAACTGGCTAACAATGTAATTTTAAGATGTTTCTACACAGCCTGAAGACTTGCGGGCTCAGCTCTATCAGGCAACATCTCTTCAATTTTCCATGGACATGATACAATCAAATTACATCTTCTAAGTTGCAATGGATGGATTCTTTGTAATAAACAGAGGAAGAAATAGTACCAGAGGCTCTTTAATCAGTTACATCATTCCAATAATGCAGGTAAGATTAAGAGACAGATGGAATTAGAGTAAGGATGATGTAGGTGAGCAATGGAGAAGGAGGGACAGAGTCAAGGAATGTCAGGTAGCTTGCTAACACCTAGTGCTGGGTGTATATATAGCATATCTGTGACATTGTACGGTGTGATAAGAGGGAGGTCAAAAGGTCAAGCAGAGTTTCCCAGGAGAATGACTGCTTAGTATGTGAAGCAACAGCAAGAGGAGGAAGACAGGGTTT